ATATTATATCATACCTAACATTAACAATAAATCATTAATATCGTCAAAAATCTCATCAGGGCCTAATGCTGGGAGCTGGCCCATCCTTGCTGTTTCAAGGGACCTGGCATATGGCATACTGTTCTTAATATGTTTGCTCACCTTCTTGGCGCTGTGTTTTAACCAAGGTCACCTCTCCCAGAAAGGTTGTTTCCCCAGGTAGGGATTTTCCCCTGAAGTTAGTGAGGGAATAAAACCTCTTAACTAAGTGCTAGGCGGGTAATTAATCACTTTAACTACGAACAATCACACTTAAGCTACATAATCTTTACTCCCTGGAATGGAGATAAGAAACACCGTAACCTTTGGAATAGAGATTGATAGGATTAGAATCAACTGGTATAAATACAGATGTAACACGACAACAGGAGACAGAACTTAGATGAAGATCCTAGAGACAGAACTTAGAAGACAGAACCAGAACATGGACACAGAACTTGGCTGGAGATTGTGGCTAGAGATCCTGGCAAGGCTGCTGATCAACTGAACGCTGTCTCCGTGTCATTCCTTCTTCACCGACTCCGTCCACACCTTTGGGGACCCCTGGACCTGCTGGGGTTGGACCCCAGCAGCCTAAAATTATTTTCAAATGTCATACTTAAAATTTATTTCAATAAGGATCAAATAAGACTCGTACACTGAAGTTTGGTAGGTAGGTACCTAAGTCCTTTAATTCTTACTCATGCTCTATCTTCTTTTTTACCTCTTTTATTAGTTGAAAAGCTGATGATTTTATTCTACATATTTTTTTTCTACAGTCTAAATTTTGCTAATTGCAACCTTGTGATCACTTTTTGAAATTGCTGGGGTACCAATCACTCTTCTGAGAATCATTAAGTAAGTTAAAAAATCATCAATTTATCTTGCCTTTCTGACAATAAACATTTGATTATAGAAGGTTCTTCTTTCTGAAGTATTACATTTAATATATACAAAAGAAATTGCAGAATAAGAGAAATTGCCATTTGAAACCTCTGTTCAAATAATGCATCTAAGTTACAATTATCAATGGCTATTAAAATCATTACATAAGAAATTAATAGGGAACTTTATAATGGGTAGATGAGACTGACAGCCCCTGAACCCACTATTAATATTAACATCGCAACACAGGCACAAGAAATTCCATGCCTTACAATGTGATGCAAGGCATTACACAGCATTATCTATGAAGTATTCCAGTCAATAAATAATTCACCAGATTGAATCAAGTCTCCAGGTCCACCATCATTTTACAGAAATACAAGGGATATTGGAGCATGTTAAATAACATCATGTAAACATGCCATGAGCACCTCCAGAATATGGGAAATGTTATAGAAAATAAAATAATCCAGTGAATTCAACTAACAAATGCTTTGAAAGATAAAGGGGGGAGATGGAGAACTGTTAGACATATATTAAAACATAGTTAAATGATAGGTCAACAAAAGCAATGTAGGAACCTTCTGATTTTCTGATTTACATAAATTCACTATGAAAATACATTTTTAGATAATTAACAATTCTGACCTTAGGATAATGGCCCTGTGATTTTTAAAAAAAATTCTTATTTGTTAGAGATATACATTGAAGTATTCATGGACAAATTATAGATATGTGAGAATTTCTTTAAAATACTCCACTGGTAGAAGTAAAGTGTGGGGATAGTGTCAGCAATAGGTGATGAAACAAAATTGCAAAATGCTGATAGTTATCAAAATGACTGATGGGCATATGCAGTTTCATCTGTATGTTTGAACATTTTCATATTAAAATGGAGTCTAAAAAGACAATAATTCACTTTCCAACCAGAAATACCTTTGATTGCTTATCTACCATAAGATTGAGAATGATGTTGACCAGATTTTAAGCACGATTTTTCTTTGAGCAATTCCTTCATGTTTTAGAGAAAAGAGGTATACACATCTGATTAAATAGTCCTGCAATAAAGCCCTAATTCTTGTGATTCAAGGTATATTCTGAGTCCCATCAGCTCTACCAACACCTGAGCGCTTATTAGAAGTGTAGCATCCCTGGCCCCACCCTTGTCCTCCTGCATCAAATCTGGATTTTATATGAGATCCCCAGGTAATTTCCATGTTCATTAAAGTTTGAGAAGTAGTGTTCTAGATCCCATTCCTTGCAGATCTTTCCCCCTTAATTATTATCTTAATTTATGTTCAATCTTTCCCTTTCACTGGCTCCTTCTTAACTGTATATAAACAAGCTTGGTTATTTCTCTTCTTAAAAATAAAATAGCCCAGCCAGTGTGCCTCAGTGGTTAAGTGTAGAGCTATGAACCAGAAGGTCACAGTTTGATTCAAGGTTGGGCACCTGCCCAGGTTGCAGGCTTCGACATATGAATTTTGGGCAGATAAAATTCATTCCACAACATTACACCCTCTGGACTTTCAAAATTCCTGTTCTTCTCACACGTAAAATAAATTGACCCTCTCCAGAACATCTCAAAGTCTTAACTCATTCCAGCATCAACCCTCAGTCCAAAGTCTTATCTAAATACCTAAATCAGGAATCAGTGATCTTGAGGTATGATTACTCTTAAGGCAAAATTCCTCTTCAGCTGTGACCTTGTGAAACCAATCAATGTATTTGTTTCCAAAGGACACTGGTGGGACAGGCAGAGGATAGGCATTTCCACTGCGAAATGGAGAAACTGGGAAGAAGACAGGGGTCATGGGTTCCAAGCATCTAAATTTACCTAGATTTTCAGGTTTGAGAGTAATCTTTTTTGGTTTGAGTTTGATGCTCAGTTCTCCCGGCCCACAGAGGGAGCCCAGTCCTAGAAAGGGGCTGTTTCCTTGGCTCTGGGTGTCAGCCTTGCATCTGAGGCACTGAAACCTGGGAGGAGATAGCTTCACCCTTCGAAAATGAAGAGGTGACAGTCTTGCTTCATGGGCAGTGGCACCCTCAGAGTCATTCTTTCTTTTCTGGGAGGATATGGCATGTTTGCAGTTGCATAACTTTAAAGCCATGTCTTGCACAACCTCAGAAATTTTTCTATTATTTTGTTCCACATCTGTCCCCTTTAACTCAAACTCGAAGTGTCTCTGCTGGTATAATTCCATCTTTGTTCCTGACTTCTGCTTCAATGACAATAAATCCATGGGTAATTTCTTTATTGAATGTTTGCACAGCCATACCCTTGGTGTTCTCTTCAGAACACATGCTCATATTCTCTCTCTCTCTCTCTCTCTCTCTCTCTCTCTCTCTCTCTCTCTCTTTCATAATATAGACTGGCTGGAAGTATTTAAATCTTCAAATTCTGGTTTATTTTTGATGAACAATTTCTTTAAGCAGTATGAAGAAGCACACCATACCTTTAACATTTTCCTTGGAAATGTCCTTAGCTAAAATATCCAAGTTTATCAATTTTAATTTCTACTTTCCACACTACTTTCATAACTTATCCACAGTGCTTATAAGCTCATCTTCCTAAAAGGTAAACTAGGTAAGTTTTCTCCAAACTCCAAAATTTCAATATCCACCCTATCACTGGCTAACATTCAGAGTGCCTGGCATGACACACAGGACACTGTGGTCTCTGCTTGATGCTCCAGTGTCACTTCCTGCCAAACATTGGCAAACAGACAATTTCTAGAAAGACAAATGCAACCACAATAGAGTTCTCCTCAACTGTCATGCTGATTCATCCTGTCTTGGCCTGTCCCCTTCCTCACACCACCTGGCAAACTGCTGCTCATCATGAAAAATCCACACAAGGGTCTTCCTTTTCGGTGAGATATTTGATGTCCATGGACTATGCTGATCATACAGTTCCTTGTACTATTGCAGTTTAACTGCATTACATTTCTAGAACAACACTTTCATTATTTATTTACAACAAAGAGACTGTGCACTCTCCAAAGACTATACTTTATCTGTTTATCCTCTGTCCTTGTCACATAGATTACTCAATTACTAACTGAAAGATAAAAAAAAACCAACACAATGTATTGACTAATTATGAGGTATATATACTTTAAAACAAGGTGGAAGGAAGAATGGGGGGGGGGGCGGGACAAAGGATATAGTACCTAAAGTGATTTCCAAGCTTTGTGACTAAAAAAAAAAAGCACCTAAAACACCAAAAACCTGCAGCTAGACAAGTGTAATGCTGGACATAATAAAGATAAAATGCCTACTTAACTATATTGTTTTAAAATACTACTTATATTGCATGATGGAGGTGAATACCAAGTGTTTTCTGAAAGACTTATTTTCAGAGAATAGTTTACTCAGATTTAATGTTCCATCTATGTTTCTCACCAATTTATGAGTCTGAATACGTAGGACTCACAGGTGGCCTCTATCTAGGGAGAAACAAACACAACTATTGAAGAGGCAAGGTGCTCTTGAGACCAAAAGGAGCTTGTCTCCAAGTGAAAGAAATTTATGTGAAAACTCTGCCTTTATCAGTAAGGTACACTGGTAAGAGTATTTCAAGATCTTTTATTTAAGAGCAAATAGAAAGCATGACATCACTATTCACAGAACATAGCCTAACACTGTAAATATAAAACTCTAGTGGAAATTAATTTTTCCAATTCAGTAAAATAAATTAGTGTTAGTGGAAACAGTGAAATTGTTTAGAGATTGCTTTTCTTTGAAGATGACGCCACTGCTTAAGTAATTCACCACCTAACAAATAAATAAGGCATACTTATGTTCATTACTAAATATTTTCTATAATGTATTAGCCCCTTGATATGGCAGGATTCTACTAAATAGTGGTGCATTTAAAAAGTGTTGTTTTGATAGAATATTTATTACATGTAGAGGGTATGAGAATGGAAGCACTATAAAACACACCTGGGTTCATTTCCAAATGAACTAATACTTTTCAGTGAAACGTTTTAACTACTTCTAATACCCATGTGAAGTTAGGGTGTCACCCCTACCTTTCTTCCTTTGAGATTGGATGACAGGGATTTAGGAACTCCAAGTCTCCTGAAGACCAGAAACATTTTCTTATTCTTTAAAATGAAGTATTTTACAGCTATCCTATAGAATAAAAAACTAATATGCAAATTGACCAAATGGCAGAATGACCACTATGATGAGCACTGACCACCAGGGGAAGGCGCTCAACACAGGAGCTGCCCCTGGTGGTCAGTGTGCTCCCACAGGGGGAGAACCACTCAACCAGAAGCCCTAATCTGGACTCACAGCTGGTGAGCCCAGTGGCAGTGGCAGGAGCCTCTCCAGTCTCTGTGGCAGTGCTAAGGATGTCCGACTGATGGCTTAGGCCCACTCCCAGGAGCGGGCCTAAGCCGCCAATCGGACATCCCCAAAGGGCTCCTGGATTGCGAGAGGGTGCAAGCCGGGCTGAGGGACCCCACCCCAAGCGCATGAATTTCGTGCACCAGGCCTCTAGTCATTTATATTCTTGGGAGTATTGATTTGATCTAAAATTGTTTGGCCAAAGACACAAATTTGCAAATGCAGAAGACAACAAAAGAGTAATTTGCAATAGTAGAGAAACCAAATAACTGTTCCTGGCTCAACATAAGTTTTAAAATAAATGGTATCCATTATTTTTGTTGGTGTTATTATTCACTAGTTATGTAATAGTCTAAGTAGAATTCATTCTTCAAATTGTCCATTATAACCTGCTCAGTACATTCCTTTTAGGCAATTCAAAAAGTAAAATAATTTCAAATGTTTCTCTAACTTTTGAGACATTTAAGAGTAAAATAATAATCACTCAAAAATCTTTGGCAGATTTTGAAGAAACTTGGAACAAATTTTTTTCCTGAAGTATCTTCCAAATTTTAAGATAACAAGCAAAATGGTCATTACAATATGTTGTGGTTTTTTTGTTTATCAACTTGATTATTATTTCTTTGATTGGTATTATTGGTATTGTTTGTTATGGGTTAAATTATCAAGCACTAGAGTTTTTTCCTAATCTCATAGGTATATTTTATTGTACTTTAGGCTCATATTATAAATACTGTGTATTGGAAATTTATGCTCTTTTTCTAGATCTAGCAGCTTATTTTTATGATTTCACATTATCATAGATATTTATAGTTGTTTTACAGTTGCTTTTATGACATATAATGTATAAAATTTATGACTTGTTTGGCTCTGAGTACTTGATTAAGGATAAAACTATGCTTATAACATGCTGATGAGAAAATATTATCCAGTTTATTGAGAAGCACTACTTCTTGGCATAAATGAAAGGGATCAGTGTCTTTATCAAATTAGGTGCAAGTTATGCCAAAAATCACATTCTAGAGTACTTTTCCTGGTAACAAAAGTATTTCATATAAACACCTGATTATGAACAATGACTTTTTATGCATCAAAATTGAACAAGACTATTTGAATTTTTATTCTCTTAATGCATCATATATGGTTTAATAATGGGATGAGTTTTTCTTCCCAATCCCCATACCTCATCATAATCATCTGCCCTCCCCCAACCAGGCACTCACACACAAATGCACTCATAACTACCTCTTTCTACATCTGACAGAACACAGGGAGTCTTAGGTCATACAACTCTACAGTGGAGGGAGACCGAGAATCGTGACACCCCCACCTCCCCATCAGATAGAGGAACTTTACAACCAGAAGGATAACTTTGATGGTTGGCTTGGTTTGCTTATTTTTAAAACTTTCCCCCAAGATTGGGACTATTGAGAAGTCACATCTACCTTCACCCTTGACCTTGGGATTTCAAGCCCCCTCTTCTCTGTTTGTTCAACAGTGCAGCTAGCTGGAGCCTAGATTGACTGGAGGCAGGAGTGGGGCAAATGAAAAGAGCTAAAGGGCTATGGAGTAGATAAGAAGGCGTAAGGAGGAGCCCCAGGAAGGAACATGGGGAAGGATATACCCCATTTCAGAAAAAACGCTGCTGAGTCCATGCATTGAGTTTGGAAACGGATTGAGTAGAATTGTAAAGGCATCCCAGATCATGTCTACCCTGTGAATCCTCCCTAAATTGGCCTACATTACTGAATATGAAATTAAAAAACAAAAACAAAATTAGTTGCAAATCCTTCAGAATTTCCTATGAAAGTTTGAACAGACAAAGGTAGGCCACACTTTCAGTCTTCCCTTCCACTCTTCTCTTGCAATTATCAATGGACATCTAGCCTTCTACACCATAGATGGCAAGAAGAAAATGAAAATCACCAGTTAGAGCAACAAAAATTATTTTTATTAACTATGTTCTCCTTTAAATAATGGTGATACACTTAGATGTATGAACTATCAAAAAAATGGGCCTTCACAGACCCTGAGACACCATCTTTGCTAGTCAATATTTATTTAGTAACTTAGAAGTTTTGTCATTGATTTAGTGTCTAGCTAGTATTTTTCTTAAAAATTTAAACTTCCTATATATGTAGTTACTTATTGAGGCTTATAAATTTCACATTCTTGGTGGCATTTTATTAAGTCAAACAATAAATTTTTCAAGGGCTATTTTAAATGCGCTGATGTCCACGAAAATATATAAGCAAATTCAAAAGATTATTAGCAGCGATTCAAGCTAGTGGGTTTATTTGGGAGCCTTTGAGCATGTTATGATATACTGGAGAGAGTTGCTATAGCCAAGTCTGAGATAAGTACAGGTCAAACTAGAAAGCGGCTTTTTGAAGAGAAATAACTCACTAGCGAAAGTTAGAGATATTTGCTAGGACATTTGAAAATCTTCTCCTCAGACCCAGATGTTGCCTTAATTCCATAATCAGGTCAGTTGTGATGCTAATTTGTAACTTTTCTATCAGGTATAACCAGATGTTTCATTTAACCTCCAATATAAATAAAACATCTGATAAAGTTTCGCAATGCCTTTGTAAACAGCTGTTTGATCTGGAAACTTACTGCTGAAGCAGCTGTCCTGATCTGGTCATTCTCTCTACATAATGTCAAGGTAATTGTCTTGATCCTTGGGAAAACTGCTGCTGTAGGTGTTATAAAGTCTTTCATTACAGCATGTTAGATCTCTTTCCAATGGCTAATGTCTCATCAACACATGTTTAGTCTACCCAATGAGAATTTATTAAGTACATTTAAAATGTACAAAGAAATTGCCAGCCTATTTCTTTGAGGATGAAAATGTAAGTTGAGTGCATTGTTAAGGCAATTTTATTATACACTTAACATTATAAAACAATATTTGAGCAGCCTTTACACTATAAGAAATTGAGTTAGTACTTGCATTCTTTTTCTGGTTTATTAAATACATATAAGAATGCTACTCCTCAATTTATTCATATTTTTTATTCCTGGGTTAATGTAGGCACATTTCCAACATTAGTAATTATTTCATGTGACTGAAATAATTAATCAAATGATAAAGAGTTGATGCTTAAATTGATTAAAACTAAATTAAGATAGTATTTTAGTCATGTATAAAATGTTCAGCATTTCTAGAAGGACAAATATCTAAAATAAATAAACTGGCATATTTCAAAATATTAGTAGATGAGTATATATGGTCCATTCTAATAAATATTGGTCAAGCTCACTTGTTTTAGGTTTCTTGTTTAATGAATCAAAGGTTGGGGTGTTATGCAAAATAAGCTGCATGTAAATAAGGAAGAAATATTATAATAAATAATTCAGAGATTTTTATTTGATATTTGAAAAATCAAGATATTTTATTTATTTAGATATTTGTTGATTTCATGAATAATCCATTATTTTTATCACGTACATTTTCCAAATACACATTTCTGAAAATTTTTATATTTTGGGATCTGCAATTTTTTTTCAAACCACATTTCTTAGCCTTTGTGCCTACATTTTTTATTGTGTGTATGCACAACACTAAACAGAAAGCACTTCTTAAAATACTTTACAAGATATAATAATTATATGTATTTCACTTTCTGTTTGGGAAGCTGTTGAGCCATTTCTCCCCATAGGAAATGTAATCCATGCACCCTGTAAGAGAGCAGAATCTTCTAGGTCAGCGGTTCTCAACCTGTGGGTCGCGACCCATTTGGGGGTCGAACGACCCTTTCACAGGGGTCACCTAAGACCATCGGAAAACACATATATAATTACATATTGTTTTTGTGATTAATCACTATGCTTTAATTATGTACAAATGTAACAATGAAAATACATCCTGCAATCAGATATTTACATTATGATTTATTACAGTAGCAAAATTACAGTTATGAAGTAACAAGAAAATAATTTTATGGTTGGGGGTCACCACAACATGAGGAACTGTATTAAAGGGTAGCGGCATTAGGAAGGTTGAGAACCACTGTTCTAGGTAGTGGCATAGTCAGGCCTCGGGCTCCTGACAAATTTTCCCAGCTATCTCTTGATTTACAAGAGTCTCTGCACTAGATAGTTTCATGTTAAGGGACTCCTAGATTGCAATATCCAGAGGCATCCCGCTAAATTGTTAGCTTAAATTTAGCTATGCCAAATGATTTAAGATGAACTTAAAGGCAATAGGGAACAGAAGCGTTACCCACCAGCAATGAGTTAGAGTGGTGGCACTCTCTGAAATGCAGATTTAGATTGGATGACCCTGGACATGAACTGGATAAAGAGTAAAATTATTGAGGAGTGGAAGCCAGGAGGAATGCTTAATTGTACTAGGCAAGAAGTTTGGTGGCGTTAAAGCTCTTTGTACATGCATATAGGTATGCAGGTGTGTGTTTGTGCTATATTTTCCCTAGTTGGGGAAAATCCATTTTCAGCTTAGATCCTATTGAGTGACTTTTTTTTATACTGAAATAAGTAAATATGGTAGGTCACCACCTCAGAGACCTACCATAGCTCATAGGGGTGAAACAGATATAGAGATAAAAGCTACAGGGCCACACAAATATAATCAGAAGCCATTCCTCCATAATAAGCACACAGGCACAGGCATTTTGAACAGTAGAAGCAAGAAAGCCTCTGCATCCATTCTACTTATATCATCCTGCACTGGAGATGAGCTTTGAAGAAGTCCATAATGAGAAGAGAACCAGCTCAATGATGAAA